TGCTTTCCCCGTGTTTCCACCCCCAGACCACCCAAGAACCGTCATTGCCACGACATTCACGATGTCTGAAAAGTCGGACAGAGCGGATACTATCAACAACCACCAGGGGACGGTGGATAGCACCCCGAAGAGTGGATTCGGTCGATTCTGCAGTAAGATGGGCGATCTGCCACAATGGAAGGTCAACGGAAAGCTTCTGCGCGGTGCCGCCTTGAACTGGGGCATCGGTGTCATCGCCTCCTGCGGCTTTGTGAGTGTACCTACGTTGCTTCGGAGATGAAGCTCTGCTAACATGGTGAAAGCTCATGTTTGGCTATGATCAAGGCGTTCTGTCCGGGCTCCTCACCCTCGACGACTTTCAGAAGAATCAAGCCTTGATGACTCCCCTCGACGCCTCGAACCCTCTTTGCTGGAACGATGATGGCTCACGCGACGAACGCTACTGCCACGGTGACGCCAATACCCAAGCCGCTGGCGTTGCCATGTATCAGATTGGTTGCTTTTTAGGCGCTGTCCTCATTCTCTTCTACGGCGAGAGCTGGGGTCGCCGGTCGTCGACCTTCTGGGGCTCCCTTATCATGATTATTGGTGGAATCATGCAGGCTGCGTCTTTCGAATATGGGCTCTTCGTCAGTGGCCGCGTTGTCGGTGGCATCGGGAACGGCATGGTGACCTCAACCATTCCCACCTGGCAGTCCGAGTGCGCACGCCCTGAGAAGCGCGGCTTCCTGATTCTCATCTCCGGCGCCCTCATCTCGGGCGGTATCATGATCTCCTACTGGGTTGTTTATGGATTCTATTTCCTTGAGGGCCAGGTCCGCTGGCGCTTCCCCGTCATGTTCCAGTCCTTCTTTACCATTCTTGTCATGATTGGACTGCTCTATCTGCCCGACTCGCCTCGTTGGCTCTTGATGAAGGGTCGTACCGCTGAAGCCCGCGAGGTCATCGGTCGTCTCCTAGATCGCCCCGAGGACTCTGCCGAAGTTGACGAAGAGGTCAACCAAATTGCTGCTGCTCTCAATGTGGAGCACAACGGTGGTCGCTTCAAGCGCCTCCTGACGAATGGTCCCTCCCAAAACCTGCGCCGTACTCTCCTCGGCATCGCCGCCCAATTCTTTCAGCAGATTTGCGGCATCAACCTCATCACTTACTACGCTACTTTCGTCTTCGAGAACTCGCTTGGGTTCGGACCCCAGCTCTCCCGTCTCTTGGCCGCTCTGAACGGTACCGAGTACTTCCTCGCCTCCCTCGTCGCCCTGCCCCTCATCGAGCGCGTTGGACGCCGCAAGCTCATGCTTTTTGGAGCCTTCGGCATGATGGGATCCATGGCCATTCTTGCCGGCACGACCTCGACGGGCACGACCAACGAGGACGGCGCGCCCCAGCTTTCGACCGCATACGGCGTCACGGCTGTGGTCTTCCTCTTTGCATTCAACTCGTTTTTCGCCGTTGGATGGCTTGGAATGACGTGGCTGTACCCAGCTGAGGTGACGGGACTCAACATTCGTATCCAGGCCAACGCCCTCTCGACGTGCAGCAACTGGATCTCCAACTTCCTCATCGTCATGATCACCCCGCCGGCGTTCGCCAACCTCCAATGGAAGACCTACGTTATGTTCGCCGTGTTCAACGCGGCTCTCATCCCTTGCGTCTATATATACTTCCCCGAGGTAAGCTTACTTCTTGGTTTCCGGGAGGTAGCACAGCATGGATACATTGCTAACCCAACACAGACCTCTAAGCGCTCTCTCGAGGAGATTGACCTCTACTTCGCCCGTGCCTGGTCAGAGGGCGTCTCTCCCGTCAAGATGGCCAAGACGATGCCCCGATACACCGCAACTGAGCTTGACAATGAGTTGGCCAAGTATTTTAGCGCCGCGGATATTGAGCAGCGCAGGGGTTCCATGCTGCAGTCGCGCCGGCCATCCGCCATGACCCAGGCGCCAGATGAGCCTTCGGTGAACAAGAACGCCACTCAGTGAGAGTTGCGTTCCGAATGGGAATAGATAGTTTGGATGAGCTCTGTTCAATGTTTAGAGGGGGTGAATAGATGTTTTTCGCCGCACGACTGGTTGTGTTTCGCGAAACATGCGCCATTTGACTCCAAGAGTACTTTTCAACGAGGCTTCGCAGCCTTTGCACAGAACTAGTGAAGTACCATATGGATTTTGCGAAGCGTGTCTTCGCCTGAATCTATGACTTCTGGCTTCATGACTAGAAGAACAATCACGATGTGTACTTTCCTAGCATGATGCTGTCCACACAAAATCAGCATCCGCATCGAGTCCTTAAGACTTCGGCGATTTGCCCCCCTCTTCTCCGGACTTTCGTTCAGTCATTCGTCTTCTGACCCCTCGCAGATCATCTTCATCGAATGGGGGCATCGGCTGCATTCTGCCCAAAGGAGAAGGTCGTGGATCGTCATCGGCCAGCTTGGACCCCTCTTCCTCGACCACACTTCGAGCTGGTGGTGACCCAATCTTTGAAGGCGACTGAGATTCAAGACTTGTCTTCGTCTTCTTTCTCTTCTGCACACTGCCTTCCGCTGTCGACGCTCTTTTTTCCTCATATATTCGAGTAGCTCGCCTTGAGTCCGCATTTCTTTCTTCTTCTGGACGAGAGAATACCTCTGGGGGCCATTCTCCAGTCTCCTCACGAAGGTTTCGCCCATCATCTCGGACTCGGGAACCGGTAAACCGATCGGAGACTAGTGATTCAGGTATATCAACGTACCGTACGGTAGGTGTTGAGAAGTCTGTGGTCGTAATAATTGGAGTTCGAGCAGTCGTGCTCGGCCGCGGGCTGGGTGGCCGACGATGAGTGCCTGAAGACCTGGCGTGCCGGGGCGTCGTTCGAGGAGGTGGGGGTTGCGGACCCGAATCGGCGCGACGTGTTCGAGGGGGAGGAGGAACCAAGTCCTGCCGACTGTTTAGATGGTCGTTGTACGCATACAACTTTCGGGGTGCAGCGCCGTGCTCGTTTCGCGGTTGTCTCGGGGCTTGGCCTCGTCGCTTTGTTGACGGTACAATTTTCAAGGTGCTAGCCACGACGGCCTTTTCCACGTCCCGAAGCGAAGCAATCTCGTCAGGCTGTATGACCTCTGGGTGGACCTTTCGAAAACTCTCGATTTGTTTCGTCGCGAAACGCACGTCGCGTCTCTGCTCGACAATCTGTTCTGACAGGAACTTTCTGACGACGACAATCAGCTGTCGATTCAAGCAACCTGCGCTCCACAATGCTCACTCACACCTGCTCTTTCAAAGATCGCAACTCTTTCGAGTCTGTATTCTTGTCCTGCAGAACTCGGATCTGCCTCATGAAATCCTCACACAGCATTGTGCTGATGAAGAGGTTGGCCGTGGATTTCGTCGTCTCCTGCATCATCCGGGACATTGCCACTGCAGCCTTTTTACGATACCAGCGCCAGCTAAATCCCAACCGGACAAAATAGCTGTCATTGCTGCCGACGTGCTGCTCATCTATCCCGGTGTCTATCACAAGGTCGCGGAGACGCAGCTGAACCTGGCCGAACTCTTTGATAAGTCCATCGAGAGTCGCCTCCCGCTCGGGGCGCTGATCCGTTTCGATCAGTTCGAGGGACAGACGAGCGGCCGTAAACAAGGAGGTGATGACGGCACTCATGTTCTTGGAGCTCGTGGCGAAATACTGGCAATCTTCCGAGGCGTGGCTTAGAGCGCTGAAGGAGTCGCTGAGCCTGACGAATTCTTTGGCAATCTGTAGGCCAACGCCTACGACGCCGAGAATGGCGAACGCCTCGGCCATGGTTGTGACGCTTTCTGTTTGTTAGAGACGAGATGCGCAGGATATGCGTTGGAAGACGGATGCCTCGGACTAAATGCTCCCCTCCGACAAGGGCTGATTCAGCCTTGTCTTGTCTCGCCCATCTTCTGTGCAGACCGAGGACGCTGTTGGTCGCGACTAGTTCTTTTCAGGCGACCGAGATGATTACATGGGCTTCACGTCGGTCCAATGGGCATTTCGAGGCTGACGGTTCTCCCGCTTGATTGGATCCAACCCGCCACCTTCACTCGGAGGGTGTGATGGGCCCTCGATCCATCATGATACGCAGCCGGACGGCACTCGGTGTCCGAGAGGTGTGTGGTTGGCTTTGGCTCTTGGTTCAGAGAATCCCCTGGTTTGTTTGTCCTCATGAGGGTGATGAGAGTAATGGTCCAATGCCGGGGGCTTCGTGTGAGGCAGAAGTCACCTGTGTAAGCAGCCTTCGTTCTGCTTATTGATAGACATCGTGCCCGTGATGCGATGCAGACGAAGGGTCTGTATGAATGAGCTGTGTTCGACATGGTGTTTCTTGTGCACCGAAAGCCTGGGTACTCAAGAGGGCGTATTGCTAGGCAGATTCGAGCTGTCACAGTCTGTTCAACATTATCGGTCGGGTGTACGAAGGCAGCCTTGAAGACTCTGGCTGAATTGACCAGCTGTCATGTGCTCGCGCAGACACTTCGATATCACTTGGAGAAAACGGGCCCAAGACCCATGAGCTTTGCCCCAGCAGCCTTTCCTGCTATTCCCTGAGAGGGGAGGATCAGCTTTGACGGCAGGTCATCACTTGAGGGCCAGCTGCAAAGAATGAAATGACCGTGCTCTGAGCGAGAGCCTTCTAAGCTACATCCCTTGGCATCAGGAAACGGAGTAGACGGATTCAGGACAAGGCTCTGGACCACATCTGGTCAGAACCTGCTGGAAGCTGCAAATCGTCGATCACCAATGACATACGACAGGTCACAATCGTCGAGGCTCATCACGGCCTCCGAGATAGACCTCGTCGTCAGCGCAGCTGGCACCGTGACACCGACGTAACTTGTAAACGCAGCAGCCTAAACCACTCCCTCTCTTTATCCAGATTACGCCGGAACGTTGCTCTCCCACCTTGACTCCGTCGAGGTAACGCAGCGACGCACGCTGCCAGCCATTGCAACGCTCCGTCGCGCGGCAGGCAACCACTGCCCCCTCGCCCCGATTCAGACAAGATCCGCCGCCGCCGCCTCCCTCATGTCGCGCCGCCACTGCTCCCTGACCTCCCGCACGAGCCCCGGCGTCGCAAACACGTCGACCGCCGTGCCCGCCATGGCCCTCGCCACGCGCATGGCCCTGTCGAAGGCGCCGCGCGTGCCGGACGCCTTCTCAAAGTCGCGACTGTGCGGCGGCCCGGCCTCGACGCCCGGTGGAATGGCAAAGCTGACGTTCATGCTGGGCACCGCGTAGCTGACGTCGCCCTGGTCCGTACTGGCCTTGACCCACGTGGGCTGGCCCGGCGGCGGCAGGTGCGGCGGCGGCGGCGGCGGCGTGATGGCGCCCCAGTAGCGCGCGTACGCCGCCGCGAGCACGCGGTTGGGCACGTGGTCCCTGTACCCGGGGACGACGTCGAGGGCGAGGGTGGCGCCCGTGGCCTCGGCGCCGGCGCGGAAGCAGGCCTCGACCTTGGCGCGGAGCTCGTCGAGGCGAGCGGCGGACGCGGCGCGGAGGACGGCGACGCCGGCGGCGCGCTCGTGGATGACGTTGGGCCGGTTGCCGCCGTCTGTGATCTGGAGGCCGATGACGTCGTCGGGACGCGTCTGCTGACGGAGGGCTGAGACGGCGCCGTAGGCGACGACGAGGGCGTCGAGGGCGTTGATGCCGCGCCAGGGGCTGTTGGCGGCGTGGGCGGCGCGGCCGTGGTACGTGGCGTTGAGGTGCACAAAGGCCGTCGTGCGCACGAGGGCGCTGTTGTTGAAGATGCCCGGGTGCGAGATGAAGGCTGCGTCGACGTGCTTGTAGGCGCCTGCGCGGAGGCAACGTATCTTGCCGCCGGCGCCGCCTTCTTCGGCCGGCGTGCCGATGAGGAGGACCTTGCCGGCGAGGTTGTGCCGGTGGAGCGTTTGGGCTGTGGCCAGACCTGCTGCCAGTGAGACCATGGCGATGAGGTTGTGGCCGCAGGCGTGGCCGAGGCTGGGGAGGGCATCTGCATCCTTGGTCAGCCTATACGTGGTGAGGATGGTGTGGGAGCACCCCAAGAGGATGACGGACCCATCTCGGCGTTGAAAGCAATGACGGGGCCGGGCCTGCCAGTGTCATACTCAGCCGTCCACGCCGTCTCCATGCCATAAGCAGATGGCGTGACCTTCCAGCCCTTCCGGGCCCTCATGAAGTTGGTCAGGGCATCGTGCGCCTTGTACTCGTTGTAAGCGAGCTCCGGGTTTTCGTGGATAAAGGTGTTCAGCGGCCAGAGCAAAGGCTCCAGGGCCCGGATGAATTCGTCCACATCGTCGAGGTAGTCGACTTCTTGTGTGGTTGTGGGCGCGTATTCGGGATCGCCAGGTCTTGGAACTAGGATAAAGTCGTCTTCCATAGTGAAGCAGCGGGCAAGACGTCGGCATGCCTCGTCCCGTTGGCAACACGCGGCATCCTGGTGGTGAGCTGATGTGGGAGGGGGATCGATGTGTCGCTAGGATATAAGAGCGCGTACGGAGCCTAGCTGGGGCGATCCACGACCGGTGTCACCCCCCCAGTCGTTCATACGAACCAAAGGACAGGCCTTGCTGGTTCAAAGTGGGGATGATCCCGTCCTCGTGGCAGATCAAGAGGGCAGAGGCCAGGCAACTAATTAATACATTGGGAGCGCGCTGAACCCCATGATGGATCGGCTGCCGGCAGCATACTTTACCTTACTTACCTTTGCGTCCAAGTCTTCCAGCTCCACTCCATCAGGCGTTACATTCTCCTCAGCATGATGGTCGGTGACAAGCACAATGTGGCTACGACGCTGAATTATTGGGACGACCCCGGCGATGGCTCCAAGCCCACGCCCATTTTCATCGGCAAGGGCAGGATCAGCAACAAACGGCCGCACAAGGCGCACAAGTTTGTCATATCAGACATCAGCGGCGAGGAGGACCAGTACACCCTCGACCAACACGGCTTTCAGTATCTGCACCACGCCAGCATCGAGGAAGCCTTTGCCGACGAGGAGCGGATCAAGGCGGCCTACTATGAAGAGTGCAAGCAGCTTCTCACGTCTGCGACGGGCGCGCGCATGGTCCACATCTTCAACCACAAGGTGCGCAGGGGGCCGACGCAGTGGCATCACCTCGGCCTCAAGAATCTCGCGAATCGCGGTCCCGTCACCAGGACGCACGTCGACCAGTCGTACGACGGCGCCGAGCGGCGCCTGCGGTGGGAGTTCCCCTCGCGCGAAGAGGCAGACGAGCTCGTAAAACGCCGCTACCAAATCATCAACATCTGGCGACCCATTGCGCCCATCTTCAAGGACCCCATCGCCGTGGCGGCGGCACCGTCCGTGCCCGACGCGGACCTGGCAGGCGCCGAGATGACGGAGGACGGGTTCGTCGGCGAGTCGTGGGTTGTACGGCACAATCCGGAGCACAGATGGTTTTACAAGCACGGCATGACGCCGCGAGACGTGCTGCTCATCAAGTGCTTCGACTCGGACGAGGGTGTCGCGAGGCGGGCGCTGCATTCAGCGTTTGAGGACCCTGCGTACGCCACACGCGAGTCTCGACAAAGCATCGAGGTCAGGGCCCTGGTCTGCTACTGAATGACACGTTGCTAAGGGCATGTTCCGAGGAGGGGCAAGGGGGGAAGGGCGGGGGTCTCAGCGCAAGGAGAGCGTCAAAGGAGCCAAAGGAGCCAAAGGAGCCATAGAAGCCAAAGGAGCCAAAGGAGAGAAGAGGGGGGAGGCAGCGGAACCCCTCATCTGGCGAGCGGGCCCCCCAGAAGGGGAGAGGCTAAGAAGCTCTAGGGATCATATAGTCCGGTGAAATTACGACGCTCGTTAGTTGATAACAAACGGGATGAACTGCCGGGGGTCCACATATTGCTGCGGTTGGTGCTGGGCACTATGGGAGAAAGACGCGCAATATGGGCGGGGCGCGCGACGAGGGGCGCGGGGGGGTGATTGAGGATGAAGGCCACTCACTATACGGGGAATAGAAGCTCGAGTAGTCTTGCGTGAAGGTTGATGTGCAGACGAGATGCACGTGGGCCAGCGACTTCACCCGGAGGATCTCTGACTTGCCTGACTTGGTAAGTGCGTGGGCAGGGTACTTATATCGTGCTCGACTCGTGCCATGTTGTCTGTTGGGTCTTGGGTAGAGCCAACTTACTCTTCGACTCGGTGACTCGAGCTCAGTACAACAACACACAGACAGGTAGAAAGACAGACAGACACCATGGCCCCCGTTCTTGACCCCCCCGAGACCGTCGACTGGATGGGCAAGCCGGTGCCCGTGTGGTCGATGCAGACCATCGATTACGGGCTGCTGTTGTCGCAGGACCCCGGCGAGATCGACAAGGTCGTCAACGCCTGTCTCGAGGAGGGGTACTTCTACCTCGACCTGCAGGGCATCGACGGCCGTCGCATGCTGTCGGACCAGCAGGAAACGCTCAAGCTGATGAAGCGGTTCTTCGATGCGCCCATTGAGGCCAAGAACGAGTTTGGCCTGATCTCGTCCCACTTGGGGTATGTTCCTGCGCTGACCCCCCCCCCCCCCCCCCCCCGGGACTCTCTTGATTGTCAATTGTAGTAGAGAGAAACAACTCGCCAAACAAAAGAGAGTAAGAAGAAAAGAAAAGCTGACCGCGCCGCAGCTATGAGCCCGTCGGCAGCCGCACTGGCGTCGCCGCCGGCACCAAGGACGGCTACGAGATGCTCAAGGTGTCGCGTGACGAGATTCAGCACGACAACCCACGCATCCCGGCGCCGGTCAAGAACAGCGCCGACATGCGCATCCTCGAGAACGCCATCGGCAGCTGCAACACGGTGACCAAGGTCATCCTGTCGGCGCTGTCGACGGGCCTCGCGCTGACGGGCGCCGGGCGGTTCGAGAACATGCACCGCAACGACCGCCTGTCGACGACAACGGTGCGCTCTCCCTCCCCCCTCTGCTCCTCCTCCTCCTCCTCTCCCACAGCTGTTCTCACTTCTCAGCGTGAAACCCCCACTGACAGCAGCAGCTCTCCATGATGCACTACCTGCCGAGCGCGCTCGCCGGGCAGAACCGCATCGGCCACCAGAAGCACACGGACATCAGCACGCTGACGCTCCTCTTCAGCGAGCAGTGGGGCCTCCAGGTGCGGCCGCCGGGGACGTGCGGCGCGCGCGAGATGGGCTTCGTGCGGCCCAAGGCGGGGTGCGCGTTTGTGCACGTGGGCGACTCGCTGCGGTTCGCCAGCGGCATGAAGTTCCAGAGCTGCATCCACCGCGTGGTGCCGTTCGACCCGACGGAGCACCGGTACTCGATGGCGTACTTTCTGCGGGCCGAGGACGACACCATGTTCGTTGACTCGGAGGGGCGGGCCATCACGGCGGGCCAGTGGCACGACGAGAAGTTCAAGGCGTTCACGGACCCGGAGCTGTGGCAGGCCATGGCGCCCAAGTCGATGATTCTCGGCGGCATGAAGGAGGACGGCGCCGACGAGCCCGTACCCATGCCTTCGGTGGCTGTGCCCGTGGCATCGGCCGTGCCGGTCCAGGTCGAGGCGTGATGGATGCCTGGCATGGCTCCAGGCCTGATGGCTGTTGTCGTCAGCACATGATGGGATTTTGTATCGATGATCGATTGTGAAGTAATATGCAACGTCACTGTGTTTTCGTGTTGCTGTATCGGCCTGGTGATCCACTCGTATCTCGTATGCCAAGATGAAGGGTGTCAGATGGAATGTGGTGGAAAGCTTGATGATGGATCTTGTTGGCCACCTTTGAGGTAGGTACCTAGGTAGGTAGGCAGGCGGAGGGAGGAATGTCGAGGCTGTCACGAGATCGAGTGCTGAGGCTGAACCCCCACGGCTGACGACCCCTCTGCCAGCCTTGGGAACCGCCGAATGCCTGACGGCCAGAGACCCCCACGGTCCCCTATGGGCGCTGAGCTTCAGTGAGGCCGTGCTCCAGCGAGCGCTACCCAGCGGCCTGACCCCAGCGAGCTAACCCCTGCGTGCCCCTGGCAACGGCGCAGGGGCCGAGGCTGTGGCTTGCCTTATCTTATCACTGCTCGTCTGCCTGCGGCGACATGACACACGTCACGCGGAAGCTCCAGCTGTTGCGCTTGCCTCTGATGACAACCTCGCGGCTTCCCTCGTGATCCCCATCCCCTCCCCCTCCCCCTCCCCCTCCCCCTCCCCCTCCCCCTTCCCCTTCCCTTCCCTTCCCTTCCCTTCCCTTCCCTCCCCTCCCCTAGACACCACCTATCCCTCTCTGCCACGCCAGACCAATACTCATCTCTGAGCCGATTTCATCTCATCAACCTTACACGCTTCTCCGTCTTCAGACACCATGACGAAGCAAACGCTAGACAGGCATCTTCACGCAAGCTCATCCAGCATGTCCCTTCGCCTCCGCGCCATGCAATTGCAGGCCGAATCGATGGCATCATCCCTCGACACCAACACCGACCAACAGGCCGCCCGCCAACCGACACGTGAATACCTCCTGGCCGATATGGCCGGCCGCTCGTCCCAGGAGAACCCCGTCTGCACGCCATGCTTTCGCTCCCTTCGCCCTGTCGACCACCCCCACGTCAGGCTGAGCTCGGCAGCCGAGTGCCGTCTCTGTGCGATCTCCGCTGGCAAGCCCGAGGCCTACACGAAGCCCTTCTGCAACTTCCTCACCGAGAACCCCACCATCTTCCACACCGTCGCCCACTTCAAGACGAAGCTCGCCGATGCCGGTTTCCAGGAGCTCCCCGCCCGCGCCAACTGGGCCGGCAAGCTCGAGCCCGGCGGCAAGTACTGGACCACGCGCAACGGCAGCGCCCTGATCGCCTTCACCGTCGGCCAGAAATACGAGCCCGGCAACGGCGTCGCCATGATCGCCGGCCACATTGACGCCCTGACCGCGCGCCTCAAGCCCGTCAGCACCAAGCGCAACGCTGCCGGCTACGTCCAGCTCGGCGTCGCGCCCTACGCCGGCGGCCTCAACGCCACCTGGTGGGATCGCGACCTCAGCATCGGCGGCCGCGTCGTCGTCCGCGACCCCGACACGGGCAAGACGTCGACCCGTCTCGTCAAGCTCGGCTGGCCCATTGCCCGCATCCCCACCCTCGCGCCGCACTTTGGCGTCGGCATGATGGGCCAGAACAACCCCGAGACCCAGGCCGTGCCCATCATCGGCCTCGACAACTCGGACCTCGGCGGCGCCGACACCTCGGAGGCGCCCGCCGGCCCGCCCGGCTCCTTCGCCGCCACCCAGCCCCCGAAGCTCGTCAAGCTCATCGCCCGCGAGCTCGGCACGTCCGCCTCGGCCATCCTCAACTGGGACCTCGAGCTCTACGACGCGCAGCCCGCCCAGACCGGCGGCCTCGACCGCGAGTTCATCTTTGCCGGCCGCGTCGACGACAAGCTCTGCAGCTGGGCCGCCTTCACGGCGCTGCTCGCCGCCGACGCCGCCCCCGACGACGGCACCATCAAGCTCGTCGCCCTCTTCGACGACGAGGAGATCGGCTCGCTGCTGCGCCAGGGCGCCCGCGGCAACTTCCTGCCCTCGACCGTCGAGCGCGCCGTCGAGGCCCTCGCCGCCGAGGGCCGCCACGCCTTCGGCCCCGGCCTCGTCGCCCAGACGTACGCCGCCTCGTTCCTCCTCAGCGCCGACGTCACCCACGCCGGCAACCCCAACTTCCTCGCCTACTACCTCGACCAGCACGTGCCGCGCCTCAACGTCGGCCTCGTCATCTGCGGCGACGCCAACGGCCACATGACCACCGACGCCGTCTCGACGGCCATCCTCCAGCGCGTCGGCGACCTCGCCGGCTGCCGCACCCAGACCTTCCAGATCCGCAACGACACGCGCAGCGGCGGCACCGTCGGGCCCATGCTCAGCAGCGCCCTCGGCGTGCGCGCCGCCGACGCCGGCCTGCCGCAGCTCAGCATGCACAGCATCCGCGCGACGACCGGCAGCCTCGATCCCGGTCTCGGCGTCAAGTTTTTCAAGGGCTTCCTCGACCACTGGGAGAAGGTCGATGCCGAGTGGCAGTGAGCGGCGCCTGCGTTGCCTGGGCGATATGCCCGGGGGTACGGATGGACGGGTGGTCTGGTTGTTGTCGCGCCGAAACGAGAAGGGGGCCTGGAGTTCAGCATGACAACTGTACACGTAGCGGGAGCATGGCGTAGAGATATTTATAGAGCACTGCCTTGGATTTGAGACCGGGGAATACATGCATTGCATTTCACGCGTTGGCCGATATTCTGTTAAAACTTTGGGCTCTGGAACAATGCAGTAGCCGCAAGTCGTCGCGCGACAATGTTCCTTCCGTAAGCTGCATTCTTCGAGGGGAAAACAGCTGCAGGACCCTCGGAATGGGATGGGTAAATGATACATGCATCATTACTAGCTACGTTCATTACCAGCTATGTCTATTGTGAAGATCATAAACATATACCGCGTAACAGAATATGTGGGTATACAAAATGCTGCCGTCCTCATCCCCGTCCTCCGGGGCTCCCGTGAACATCCTCGTCCGCCCGTGCATTACCCCCTCGACCCCCCCGCCAACCCCCTCGCCCGCTCCAGGTCCACCTCGGCCTCGCGATCGGCACGGACCTCGTCGCACTCGTCGTCCTCGTCGTCGAGGTCGTCGTCGCTCTGCGTGCCGCGGTCGCTGTGCGCCGGCCCCGCGAGGTCCTCCTGCCCCGGCTGCCGCCTCTTGACAAAGTCCTGCCTGTGCGCCTCGGCGAGCATCTTGGAGATGCTCCGCGCGCCCGACGACGCCTCCTGCGTGACCGTCGTGCGGCGTCGCCGGACCACCGTGCCCGACGACACGGCCTCATGACCGCCGTCCGCGACACCGGCCTCCTCGTCGCGGCGCGACGAAGCGGGCCGCACGCCCGTCGCCGTGGCGCCGCCGGCGCTGAGCACCTCGGACCGGCCGCCGTCGTCCTGGTCGCCCTCCTCGCTCGACGTGCGCTCGACGAGCGGCGCGAGGCTGTAGGGCAGGGGCACGTCCCGCGAGGCCTTGTAGACGGCCACGTTGGCGCAGTGCTCGTTCTCGACGCGGAGGAGCGTCCAGATGCCGCGGCGGAAGACCTCGGCCGCGGCCACGAGGAACGACACGACCGTCGAGTGCTGCCTGTCGTGCGTGAAGATGGCGTAGAAGATCCAGGCGAAGCGCAGCAGCGGGTCGGCGACCATGATGACGTAGTAGATCCACCGTTTCTTGATCGCCGTGATGTCGCGGAGGAACTTGTGCCGCGAGTTGGGCTGCAGCAGCGAAAAATCCATAAACAGGTCCCAGACGGCTGTGTAGACACCGTTGATGGTCGCAAAGACGATGAAGGCCGCGAGGTTCGTGTGCGTGCCGCTGATGCGGTACACCGACAGCGTGATGGCGGCCAGGATTGACATGGTGTACTTGCCGCCGTTGACGAGATGCGGGAAGATGTTGCGCGTGTCTCTGTAACGCCGGAGACACTGGAGGAAGCGCCAGATGGGAGGAATGGCGCCGAAAAAGCCAATCAGCCGCGAGTGGCTCGAGTTGCACTGCTTCGGTTCATCCCAGTGGTTCGCATAGAGGCAGAAGAAAAGTGACACATTCTGAGGCTGTCAGTTTGGAGTAGGCACGCGCTGGGGAGGGTGTCGTTGAACGTACGCAGACGGCATAGGTGAGAGAGCAGTAGATGTCGCCGAGGAAGAAATCACGGAACTCGACAGGATAGAATCCTGCAAGAAGAAGCCGCCACTATTTACTTGTCAGCATGGGGCTTGCGGCGCGTCAGCCGAGAAAACGTACATGTGCGTATGCGAACCACTTCCTGCTGGTCGGTGCAAGGACGCGAGCAGGAAACAGGATGATGAGGGCCGAAATGCCAATGAGCACCACGGGATAGTAGAGAAACACATCATCAGAGCCGTACCGACTGAAATTAAGCCAGATGAAAATGCCGAGCAGCAGCAGAAAGAAGCTCGGAAACTCAGCCAGCTGCCGCCAGTCAAGGTGATGCCGCTGATCAAACTCAAAGATGAAGGGGTAGTTGATCTTGTTCACCGTCCACATCCAGCAGTTCAGGACGAAAAGGCCAAACATGAACAGCATCAGGAAGTAGCCGCCGTAGATCTGCATCAGGAAGCTGGTCTCCTGTCGCACACTCTCCTCCTCGTGGAGCAGCAGTTGGGCCGCAAAAGTGAGGCCCTGCACGGCGAACACGACGCCGGTGCCGATGAGGATGCCACTCCTGAAGGCACTCCCCGACTCATCGCCCTTCCGCTTGATGAGACTCTTCAGCTTGCCGGCGGCGATCTTGTGGTTGCCGCGCTCAAAATACTGCGCGTACATGTCTTCGACCGTCTTGATGTGACCCTCGAGCGCGTCGCTGTTGACGAACCAGGCCTTGTTGACCTTTTCCGTCATGAAGCGGTACGGCGGCCGGGCGTTGACGGCCTTGTCATATTTCTTGTTGAGCTTGCGGAAGGCGGTGCGGTTGAGCAGGGCGTAGGACTTGAGGAGCTCGAGGCCGCGGTAGAACTCCTGCAGAGCGAGCTTGAGCTTACGCTTCGCCGT